GTATCAAAATCCATATGCCTTTAATATTTGCTTTTCCTCTTGGTTTCAGCATCGTGGTTGTACATTGGGCTGCTAACCATGAAGTCAGCATTTCAAAACCACCAGCCACTCCTCGGGAGAAAGATGAGGCTTTTTACTCTCATACAGAGTTAGCATTTCGGAAACTCTCGGGGCAGTTCTGCCTCACGACCAGGCTGCTGTGAGTCGGAGTTGACTCGATAGCGGTGAATTTGGTTTTATTCCATTTCTGAAAACGACAGAGTATCAACAAAAAATTCAAAGCAGAAAACATTTGGCATGAAAGGGTTAGGTTTGGTTACTTGTGTTTGTTGAGCTGTGGGAGTTCTTATCTAAACTAGGGACCAGACCCGTAGTGGAGACATGGTGTGCCAACCCTGTGCAGCAGTCTTGACTCATCTTTTCACTGTCTTACTCATTATCTTTCAAGGGATACAATTTTTTTTAACTTTGATAAAATCCAAATCTTCTTAATTTTCCTTTGGTTGCTCATTATTTTGTTGTCTGTTATACCTAAGAAATTATTGCCTTATCCAAAGTCAGGGAGACTTATCAGTAGGTTTCTTTCTAACAGTTATATAGTTTGAGCTATTACATTTAGTTTTTAGTTTTTAATTCACTTTTAGTTGATTTTCCTATTTGGTGTGAGGTAGGGAAACTGATTCGGATATTCAGGTTCCCCAACACAAATATGTTAGAAAATACTATTCTTTCCCCCACTTAATTGTTTTGGCCCCCTAGTCAAAAATCAGTTGCCCGTATTGTGTGATTTATCTTCGTCCTCCTGGTTCTGTTGTCTGTTCCCACACAGAGGGATTATTCTTTGATAATGTGTAGAAGTAAAATTGATGTTTTTTCATAATCTGTGTCCTGCAACCTTCTTGAGCTCTATTAGTTCCATAAGTTTTGTGTTTGTGTGTGGACACCTTAGAATTTTATGTACAGAAGAGCATGTCAAATAAAGATAGTTTACTTCCTCTTTTCTAATCTGCCCACTTCTTTCCTCACTGACCCTGCTACAGAACCTCCAGCTGCCGGTGCTCAATAAAGCAGTGACATCCGACGCTGCTGTTCAGTGCCGCCCAAGTCGTCCTGACTCACAGTGACCTGTGGGCAACAGCCAAACGCCGCCGCGTCCTGCACGGCTGCCACCCTCGTTCTGGTCTCTGAGCCCGTGGTTGCAGCCACGTGTCAGTCCATTTTGTGTAGGGTCTTCCTCTATTTCACTGCCCCTGGACTTTACCAAGCTTCGTGTCCTTCTCCTGGTCTGGTCGCTCTGGACAACATGTCCAAAGCAGTTGAGATGAAGTCTTGCCATTCTTGCTTCGACGCTGCATTCTGGCTGTACATCTTCCGAGACAGATTGGTTTGTCCTTGCAGCGTTCTTCACCAGCACCACAAGTCAAGGGCATCGGTTCTTCTCCAGTCTTCCTTACTCAGTGTCCGACTGCCACATGCGTATCGACCTTTGAAAATACCATGGCTTGAGTCATGCTCACCTGAATCCTCAGAGTGATGAACCCTTGCTGTTCATCACTGTAAAGCAGTCTTGTGCAACAGACTGACCAAATGCATTGTGCCCTTTGACCTCTTGACTGCTGCCTCCATGAGCACTGATTGCGGGTCCCAGCGAGACACAGTGCTTGACAGCGTCGGTCTTTCCCCATTTAACATGATGTCACCTAGTGGTCCAGTTGTGAGGATTCTGATCTTCTTTAAATTGAGTTGTAATCCATACTGAAGGCTGCGGCCCCACAGTCGGTTGTGGTCCACACAGTCGAATGCCTTTGCAGAGTCAGGAGGAAGTTCAAGCTGCTTTAAAAACATTAGCCAAAAACAAGGATCCAGGAATTGATGGGACACCAGTTGAAATGTTTCAACAAGCCGATGAAACACTGGAAGCAATTGCTCCGCTATAGCAGGACATTGGGAAGGCAGCTACTTGGCCAGTTGACTGGAAGAGATCTGTATTTCCACCATTCCAGAGAAAGGTGGCCCAATAGAATGTGCAAATTATAGAACAATATCAATAACACATGGAAATAAAAATTGGCTGAAAATATCCTACAGCAGTTGTAGCAGTACATTGACAGGGAGCACCAGAGGTTCGGTTTGGATTCAGAAGAGGACATGGAACAAAGGATGTCATTGCTGGTGTTAGGTGGCTCTTGGCTGAAAGTATAGAGTACCAGAAAGTGAGATCAGATATTCTTGTCTTATTCCTGATCTTAGGCAAGGGGGGGAGGGAGCAGCTTCGATATTTTGCCATTTTAAGTATAACATTAGCTTAAGAATTTCATAAATATCTGTTAACAGGTTAAGAAGGTTCTTCATTTGAGTGATTTTTATCATGCAATGGTGATGGGTTTTGTCAAATACTTTTCCTGTATCTGTTGAGAGAGTCATGTGATTTTGTCTACTAACCTGTTAATATAGATCACATTGATTGATTTTTATGTTTGAAACCAACCTGCTGTATTGTCTTTTTGAATCTGTGGCTGGATTCAGTCTGTTCGGCTCCAGGTCGTAACAGACTGTAGGCAGCCCGGAGAAGCCTGCGGACCCAGGACACTCTTCGTGCTCGTGCAGAAGGAGCCTGCACGTGAACCAAGAGGCAGTGCAGAAGGAGCCTGCACGTGAACCAAGAGGCAGTCGTGCGACCAGAGCAAGAGCATGTGCAGAGTTTAAAATCAGCAGAGGTGTGCGACAGCCTTGTATCCTCTCACCAAACGTCCTCAGTCTGTGTGCTGAGCAGAGCATCAGAGACGCTGGATTCTATGAAGAAAGTTGTGGCATCAGGAGTGGAGGAAGGCTTATCAACAACCTACGATACTCAGATGACACAACCTTGCCGGCTGACAGTGAGGAGGACCTGAAGCACTTGCTGATGAAGAGCAAGGATTTGCAGCCTTCAGTGTGGATTACAACCCAATGTAAAGAAAATCAGAATCCTCACAACCGGACCAGTAGGTAACATCAAGATAAATGGAGAAAAGACTGAAGTTGTCAAGGATTTTGTCCTGCTTGGATCCACAATCAAAGCTCATGGAGGCAGCCGAGATTAAAAGATGCATTACATTAAGTAAATATGCTGCATTGGTGTTACTTTAGCGTAACATGTATTAATGTTACTGTAGTTTGTGCTGTTACTTTAGAGTAACGACTACGATAGGCCTGACCTGGCTGTGGC